GTGCGTGCGTGTGTGCGTGCGTGTGTGTGTGCGTGTGTGTGTGCGTGTGTGTGTGTGGCCCATTTCTGGAAATGGAGCTGGTATACTTAATTAAACGTGTAAAATTCATGGCAATGTGGCATTTTATATTTTGAATACTATAACTTTGTGTATGAAGAAACCGGTAGATTAACAAAGCATGTCCACAGGAAAAAAGGCAATAACGTAGCGAGTTACCGAGAAGGACTGAAAGCTTCGCTCTGGCACTTTGATGCTGTTTCGCGATGATGAGATGCGCCGTCTCCTAAGACTCCAACGCACCATTTGGACTTGAATGAAAGTGAATGTTCACTGCTGACTGACATCAAAGTTCATTTTCTGTTTGTGCAACCAGGATATGAAAAAAATAATAAAAAAAATATGGATGTGGAAAATGGCAAGAGGTTTTTTACTTTTTTTCTCCCCAAGTTTAAACTCAAAGATGGATTATGAATAAGAATTTTGTCCTCTTCATTGCACATGACACATCATTCAAAAGTTTGTGTGTCCCACAGAAAACCAGTTGGCCAGTGGAAGTCCTAGTTTAAATTCCTGTCTTCTTTTATCCGTCTGTATAGATGGATAGAGATATTAGAAAATGCTAAATTCATCACTCATCCTCGGTATGCCATTTATAAATACAGATATATTTTTATAACTATGTTTGATTGTTACTAGTAGTGATGTGGTAGCAGTGATATCTGTACATGCTGTAACAGATGGATAAACATATTTGTGTTTATAAAAGACGTACTACGGAGGAGTCATGAGATGATGAATTAAACACTCACTAACACCATACTAATGCTTAATAATGTACCATTATGAAGTGCTGCTGATGACTGAAATAAAACCTTTGAAGAAGGTTGAAAATAATGAAAATAATTCTAGAAGTCTCTGCATTTCCAAGAGAGCGGGATTTATCGCTGTGATGGCACGATGATTCACACACCAGGTTTGGAACTTGAACTCAGCCTGTATTCATGCATTTTCACCCGTATTGGATCTCCCCTGCAAACCCCTTTCAGGTGAGCTGTCTGTCCTTTATCCATTTCTTTAATGTCAGGTGTGTTTCCAGAACCACTAAAAACTGCTGTAATCAAACCTATACTGAAAAAGGACAATCTTGACAGGACACAAATGAACAACTACAGGCCGATCTCAAATCTCCCATTTTAAAGTAAGATCATTGAAAAAGCAGTTTCTCAACAGCTCAGTTACTTCTTAAACAGAATAACTGCTACGATGCCTTCCAGTCAGGTTTTAGACAGAACCACAGCACTGAAACCGCTCTGACTAAAGTGTTCAATGACATATGTCTGAATACAGACAGTGGAAAAATGTCAGTCTTAGTTTTACTGGATCTCAGTGCAGCATTTGATACAGTTGACCACAACATATTACTCAAACGACTGGAGAACTGGGCAGGTCTTTCAGGAACTGTACTAAACTGGTTCAAAACATACTTAGAAAACAGGAAATACTTTGTATCAATAGGTAACTTCACATCTGAGCAGACAAGTATCACATGTGGAGTTCCCCAAGGTTCCATCTTGGGACCCCTTCTGTTTAACATTTACATGCTCCCACTGGCACAGATTATAAAGAACAACAAAATAAACTACCACAGCTATGCAGATGACACACAAATATATATCACAATGTCACCAGGAGACCGAGGCCCTGTACAGGCTCTTGGTAAATGCATTGAGGAAATTAATGACTGGCTGTGCCACAATTTTCTCCAGCTAAACAAAAACAAAACTGAGGTAATAGTCTTTGGCGCCAAAGAAAAACGATTACAGGTCACCAGAGAACTTCAATCTATACATCTAAAAACCACAAACCAGGCGAGAAATTTGGGTGTAGTGATGGATGCAGACCTAAACTTAGAAAAACACATTAAGACAATAACAAAGTCAGCTTACTATCACCTCAAGAATATTTCAAGGATAAAAGATCTGATGTCTCAACAGGACCTGGAAAAACTAGTCCATGCATTCATCTTTAGTAGGCTTGATTACTGTAACAGCATCTTTACAGGTCTACCTAAAAAATCAGTCAGACAACTACAGCTCATTCAGAACTCTGCTGCTCGAGTCCTCACTAAGACCAAAAAAGTGGACCACATCAGTCCAGCTCTGAGGTCTTTACACTGGCTGCCTGTCCGTCAGAGGATAGACTTTAAAGTTCTGATGCTGGTCTATAAAGCTCTGAATGGTTTAGGACCAAAATACATCAGTGACCTCCTGACCCAGTATGAACCTTCCAGATCCCTCAGGTCATCTGGATCCGGTCTTTTATCAGTTCCCAGAGTCAGAACCAGACACGGAGAAGCTGCACCAAGCTTTTATGCTCCTTATATCTGGAACAAACTCCCAGAAAGCCTCAGATCAGCTGAAACACTCAGTTTATTTAAATCCAGGTTGAAGACTCACCTGTTCTCAGCTGCATTTGAATAAAGCACCAAATCCACACTTTTAAGCTTAAATTTCAAAACTTACATTTAACTACTGATTTTATCTACTGTTTTTTGCTTTGCTTTTATTTTAATCAATTTTAAATCCATCCATCGTCATCCGCTTTGTCCGGGGTCGGGTCGCGGGGGCAGCAGCCTAAGCAATTTTAAATCATGCTTTTTATTTGTTTTTGTTTTTTAATGTCTCTGTAAAGCACTTTGAATCACCTTGTTGTTGAATTGTGCTATACAAATAAACCTGCCTTGCCTATCCATGCATTCAGGTTGACCTATCAGAGAGAGGGACAGATCAGCCGATGTTATATTTACATATTGTTCTGTAATTATCTGTGTTGTGTGTTTATCAATCGCTGTAAGTATCTGATGAAGCTGGTTGAACATTTGGTTTTGTTTGTCTTATCTCGACCCATTGAAATGTCAAACAAGTAATGACAGGGTTACAATATGCCTCCAAAACAAAACCCACTTTGCTGAATCTGCCACACTAAATACTGAACCTCAGTGCTGTCCCGTCCATGTTTGCTTCGTCTGTCTTTGAGGACCATATCAGCCATATTATTCTAGACTAATCTTACACAACATGGCAAAAACAGGCAAATTCTACTAAAGTCCAGAGAACACGAGATTGTTTATTTCGTTTTAACGGACATAAATGTGATCTGTATACATGTGTGAACTTTGGCAGATTACTCTGAGATTCAGGAAACGGGATACGTCCAAACTGCGGCAGAGGTTTAGTTAGTGTGCATGTTTCAGTGAGCCTTGGTCCCATTTGGTTTGCATCATGCAGGTGGTTTCTATTTAGACTTGATTTGCTGCTCCTCCGGGGAACAGATAATGCGACCTTCCATTGGCGCCTCTGGGCAGCGTTACAAAGAAGAGAGGGGCATCTCTAAAAATCCCTGCTGCCTTCCCACTACACAAAGTCATTTCCAGTCTTGTCCACAGTCTGAATGTTAACAACGTGACAGCGTCGAGCTGGGGTTAAACCAGCTAACCGTGCTTTCTTTGGTTGTTCTCGTGGAACTGTATGGACGTAAACACTGTAAACAATACATTAAGGTTTAAAAGTCCCAACTGTTCACAGCCACAGTGTGAAAAGACAAATGTGGCTCTGATGTCAAACTAAAATCCCCTCGGGGCTTTCTTTCTCAATAATCTGGAACACATTTGGCCTTCGTCAGTTCATTTCCCCCACGACTGCCAGCCAGCTTGTATAAAGTCTCATATGACTCAGCTGCGCTTTTGAACGCCTCACGAGCCTTTCCAGTCTCGTGCTATGACCATTTTGTAGGGTCACTAATGTGAGACGAACACCCGTTTCTCATCGTAGTCCGTCTCCTCCCCCACCATCGAGCCCAGCCCCCCCCTCCATTTAAAAGGCCGGGGCGTCCGGCTGGTCCTGTTGTGGCAGCTCAGTTTGGGGTCGTGCAGGAGGTTCCACATGAGCCAGATTTGGGGGACGCTGAGGCTGTGAACAACCATGAGTTCTCTGTAAAAACAAGGGTCGAACGTCTGAAGGTGAGGAGCTGCTGACGGTCGGGGAATTCCAAAGGTCCGAAAGCCCTGATGTCGCGATGGTTTGATGCCGATCAGCTGGAGGCACATCCCCAGAAAGACATCGTCGATGGGGAACAATTCCACCTGGGAAAAAAAGTCATTCGAAATCATAGCATTTTTGATAGATGTGTGAAAATGCTCACTTTCTAATTTGAAGTACCTGTCGACAGGCGGAGCTCAGTCTCTGAGCTGTGTGTCCCGACATAACGAACCCTCCTCCGCCAGCATAATCGGGGTACAGACCCCCTCCGTACAAAAACTCTGGCACATAGTATTTGGAAGTGCGCCGGCGAATGGGTTTAGCACGGATAATAATATCACCGATAAACAGATCCTCGTTTGGCTGTTGGCCTCGTAGCATTTCCAGTATGTTTTCCACATTAACATACACATCGGCATCACCTTTGAAGATGAACCTGGATAAGACGAGATAAACGTAAGCTGAGCACCGGAAAAAAAACTTACGTCGGCTCGATTAATCGACACTGACTTGACACGAGGACAGCTGCTGTTGATCCAGTTCAGAAAGTGTGTTTCTTTTAGCGTCAGGTTGAAAAAGGTGTCTTCGAAATCCCACAGCAGGACGTCCTTATAGGTTTGACTCTCGTAGGACAGGAGCTGATCCCACAGAGGCAGAGCGGTTCGATTCTTGGGAACACCCAAGAGGAAAACTGTGCGGATGGACACGTCATTTTCAAAATGTCCCTCCTTACCCCACGTCCGGCGTACTACCTAAGAAAAAATGAAGCACAAAGGTTGTTTAACTCGACTAAGAGAGTAAAGGTTTTCCTAACACGCTGCACAGACACTTTATAGACTAGGAGCGGTAATACTCTTCATTAGGAATCATGTTTATGTTGATAAATTGAGTTACGTCCCACATTCAGTCACTTTCTTTGCTCAGTTTTGTTCCTTAATCCACTCCTGCCTTAAAGATGCGCTTGATCCGTATCGACCGGTGCTGGAAAACCAGATTACGTAAGTAGTGATGCGTGGAGTGGAAAAGGAACTAAATTGGTTATTACAGCCTCAAGTTTAGTAAGACGCAGAAAATACTGAGACATATGTTCTTGCAGAATATTTTACCTGACGTTTATCAAAATCTGCTGCTATGGATTTCACTGCAATGAGCATATAAGGGGCATTGTTAGACCCTCCTCCTTGTTCCTCTGCTCCTCTGATGTGACATTTTTCTGGCTGGTCTATGAGCAGCTTGAAGTTTCTGTTGTCCTTTTCTCTCAGATAAGCCTCAAAGTCAAACTGTGGCATCGTGGGTAGGGGATTGGCCGCAGTCTTGGTCGGCACAGCGTTCTTCCTTCGTGGCTTGGATTTGCCCTTAGACTTGGATTTGTGTTGGGGAGGTTTCGACCTGGACTGGGATTTACATGGAGGTGGCTGGACCCCTGAAGCCCTGGACGGGAACGCCTAATTAGGGGAAAATGTGTAAAGAAGACAATATCATTCATTAGCGGCACGTAATCTTAACAGCCATATAATTCTCACACAGTGTCCTGCATAATGTTTGTTTGTGACTCTGTATTTCATACTAATGTTGTAAATAAGGACGGAGCTAAGAAATGAATATCATGGTGCAACAACTTCAGGACTTTGTGTCACAATCTGATCCACTCCTCCACTTTTATTTAAATCTCAGTTTCTATTGAATATCTCTAAAAACAGATTTTTTGTATATATCGCTGGCAATATAGACCCTTAAACAATATCTGTTTTAATAAAGCCATTAGGCTCGCTGCTATAATACCAACACCTTCATATCAGCAAGTGTAACCTATATCGGGTCATACCCCTTGAAAGTCCTGGCCCACTTTAGCTCCAGTGGCTCCCAGCAGGGTCCGACTGGGGCTGGTGGAGCCGTGGATGTGCAGCTTCCACACAGGTCTATCCCATCCAGAGGAGAGCACAACCTGGAAACACAAGTGTTGTTTGAAAACTGAGTTGGATTTTTCTTTTAATCCAAAAAGCAACAGTGAAACAACGTGAACAGCAAAAAGAGCAACTTCCATCCTTACGTGTCGGGCATACAGCAGGAAACAGAACAGCACCAGCAGCAGAACTGTGCACATCACGTCTCCCTTCACATGGAGGAGCCTCCTCGTCACCAACATCCTTCTCAGCATCGTTTGAAGACGCTGACTGTAGTGAAGTATTAAGCAGGGATGCATTGGTCAGTCCTGCAGCAGCCTGGCAGACTGACTGGTACTTGGAGCTGGAAGACTCGATTTGGTTTTGCTGACTAGTCTGTTAAACTTGTGACGTGAGAACATCCTGGAGCAAAAGCAACAGACAGCATCAAAGAAAAAACAAAGAATCATTTATCGACCGCCCCGTTATTCTTCCCTTTGGGTTAAACTGTCCCAGATATTTATTTCAGCTCTGACCCGCGGTCATCTGATGCAATCGCTTCTTCCACTGTGGAAGGAATCAGTTCAGCAGATTTCCCGGGGCAAACAAATAAGCTGCAGTCTAGATGCCACGGCCAATCCTCAGTTTCACCCACTTTTTTACTGTATCACCGATAAACATCCACGCAACAATATCACTCGTGCTTTTTATGAGCTGACTGCGACTGTTTTTCCCTCTCACACCAAATTCTTCACTGGGTTCAGGAGTGGGAGTGTCTGGGTCTTGTGTAAGGGAACACGAAGGTGCCGAGAACTATTTTCTAAGAACGCTGTGTCCCTGAAGCAGACATAACGGCATAAATTAGAACAAGAACACAGAAGATTATCAGCTATATTACAAATATAGAAACACGCATCTGCTTATTTCTTTCATATTTAAATATATCGAGTGTTTTCTTGTTAAAGCAATTCATTCAGACTTACCCGAGGAGGCAGACAGAGAGTCAAACTAAAAACATCTGGGCTCCAGCGTGGGCTCCTTCTGCTCTAACAAAGTAAACCGACTTCCAGAGTTCGTAGAAAACCGCGAGGGGAAGTAAAATAGCGCACATCAGTCCGTGTGCTGTTTTCATGAGTACGAAAGATGCTCAAAGACGAGATGAAAACCCTGAAGGTGTTTCTCTGACCTGGCGCAGGACGGCTCTCCTCATGCTGCGTTAAGGTGCTGTAGGAAATAACACGTGTTCATTGTGTACCGTGGCGAACGCTAGCCTGTCTTACTTTTGGAGCGCTAATGGTTAAAGTGTGAGTTACTGACTCGATGTGGGCGTGGCTGAACGAGCTCAAAAGTAGAGTATCGCTCTACGGATACTTTTCAAACGCAGTTAAAGTAGACGATCAACGCGAACAGCCTTTGGGAGGAGATGTATAGGAATATGTCAATAAACCGGGCAAAAGCAAAGGGCATATGCAAAGACATCAGGCTAGTGATGCAAGTTTTTGGGGGTTTTTTGCCTAATAAACTCTGTAAAAATGTCGCTATAATACAGGACAGCGTGGGCAGTGGGCTCTGGTCGGCAGTAGGGAGGAGTTAACCACTGATTCAAACCAGGGACTGCATAAAACATTTAAAAATGCAGTAAAACTTGGAGTGTTGTTCATGGTTTTGGTCTTGTTTGTTTCTACCAGGGATTTTAGAGATGAGCTCCAACTACAGAGCAGACTCAAGGAGATGTTCAGTGGCATCAAGTTTGATGGTGTCCAGCTTTTGATGCAGGTTTGCCACCACATCGTGAAGCAGAGGAAATACAAGAGAAGGTGATGATATAAAACGGTATAGAAGGAAATGTAAAAGTCATCCTGCAGTGCGTGTACAGCATTCAGACTCCCAACTGCATTTAAAGCTACGTGACCCACTGTTGGCAGAACCGTGATCATGTTTTCTGTACACAGTCCGTGGCTTTGTTGGCCCAGGATGGGAGTGGGGTAACTACGGCTGTATCCCAATTCAGGGTCTGCAGCCTCAACGATCCTCAAGCGCCGCGTACTCAAAGACCGCTAAGGCCGGAAGTGCGAGGCTTGTGAAATGGGCGGTCTAGCCTCCGTCGCGCTGCCCAGGTTGCCTAGCAACCATGATACTAACAGCTGGAAACGTGTCATACAGCTGTGTTTGACAGAAATGAAGGAGAAAATCTTTTGTTCTGTGTTTGTTTGTTTCTACATGAGCTTTGATCATTCTCTGTAAGATTAAGCTCAGCTATTGAACGGCGTATATTTTAAAGTAAAGGCTTTAAAACCAAGTTAGTACAAACGTCACTAATGTCACATAACTTTGCCGACATGTGGCCAACAGAATGTTTTAATGTTCTTCGTTATTAAACATTGCACATAAATAAGTGACATAATATTCAGTATGTCTGTGAAGGTTCTCAGTCATCCAGGTCATCGTAGTCTAAAGGAGCTTGCAAAGAAAAGCGTCTGGACTTCTTTAAGTTGCTTGAAGACGTTTCACCTCTCATCCGAGAAGCTTCTTCAGTTCTAAGGTCAAATGGTGGAGAGTCCCAGATATAAACCTAGTGGGAGTTTCCCCCCACAGAGGGACAAAAGGACCCCCTGATGATCCTCTAATCGCCTGAGCCAAGGTGGGAAACTGGGCGTGGGTCCCAATCAGCCAGAGTTTCGGGTGGTTCATTGTGAAACCTGGCCCCACCTTATCATGTGAATTCCTGAGGTCAGATGGCCCAGGATGTGAGTGGGCCATCCAGGCTGTGTCCCTGATTGGACAGGGTCTGCACGCTTGAAGTACACGCACTACGCGTACTACGTACGGTGCGTACTATAAGTACGAGAAGTGCGGAAGTGAGAGGCTTGTAAAATGACTGTTCAGCACAGAAATGAAGCCCAACAATCATGTTTACAGTCCTGTGGTCTCAGCCTCAGATACTCAGCTAATCAAAGTGATGTCATGAGAAAAATGAATGACCAACAAAACATTTTTCTCCTTCATTTCTGTCAAACAAAGCTGTATGTAACGTGTCTCGCGGTTAGTATCATGGTTGCTAGGCAACCTGAACAGCGCGACGAAGCGTATACCGTCCCATTTTACTTTTTTCTTTTTTAAACTTTATTTAAAGTAAACAAGTTTACATATAAAATGCACATACACATACAATTACATATACAAAACCATGAGCACATACAAAAAGGAGAAAACAAGCGGGAAAATCTAGCATCTGAGTCCACACAACGTTCACAACACTTACAGTTTTAATTCGTTCCAGGGGAAAACTTTCCCAAGTTTCAGGTCCATTGTTCGTCTTCTCCGCAGGTCTGTAATGATATGTTTACTCACCACATCACTACTTAAAACGAGAAGCACATTAATTCATAAATGTGATCTAACAAAGGTAAAGGGAAAAAATTAACCATGCTTGCTGTTCATATGTCTTGTAATTGGGATGAAGTAAACATCTGTTGAGTAATTTAACATAAAATTGTTTGATAGTGTTAATTTGGAAAGCCAAAACTTTAGCGGGTCCACCAGACCCATGAACACTGGCTGAGTAACAAAAATACGAACACCACACAAGGGTTAAATTAACTTCCAATAAAAAAGGTTTATCATTGATTGAAATTCATTCAGAAATGTTTAATGAATGAGCTGTCACAACTTTCAAGTACAAAGTTGTTATGAAGTCTGTCACATCGCCCCCCTTTTTTTTCTTTTTTCTTTTCTATCCTTTATTTATTTATCCTTCTTATTTCATTGTGCTGTATATTGCTACTCTCATTTGCCTTGTATGTCTACTGTACAAACTGAACTGGAATGACTGACTGTTCGCTTTATTTCAATAAAGTTTTGAATAATAAAAAAAAACCTCTTCGGCCGCTCCCTTCTGCCGTATTTTGCGGCAAAATTATCCACAACCACCGCCGCGCTATGAATTGTGGGATATATGGGACCACGAAGCATGCACCGGACCACGCTTGATATTTGGGGAAATCGACGGCGCATTTGAAGTACACTTCAAATTGGGACAGCCGTCGTCGCGTGGCGGTGACGTAACCGCACTTAAAATGCGTACTTCAAGCGTGCGGACTCTTAATTGGGACACAGCCCCTGAGTTGGGATACAGCCTACGTCCACTGTGAGCGACCATCTTTGAACAGAGGGCGGGGCTTACCACACCATGTTTATTTATTCATGTTTTTGGAAACTTGCCTGTAAAGCAGACTAAATAATGTTGGAGCATTTGTCTAAACACATCAGTATTTAAAATGTTTACCTGCTCTCTTTTGATTTGATATAAACGTCTCAAATCCATCTAGAAATAAACCCTCCCTTTATAGGTACTGTAAAAAAAATCAGCCAAAAGTTATAAATGTTTAAAATGTAATTTAATAACAATTTTTCCACAAACACAAAGTTACATGTGCACTTTCTGAATACAGTCTACAAAAAGTAAACAAGTTAGACGGTTTTCTTTGGCTACAAATGCCACACGAACACGCAGCAGCTGAGAGCCGAGGCCGAGCGTGAAGGTCCACGCCACCGGTGACTTTACGGTCAGCTGAATGAAACCGGCACACTCGTTTTCTCAGACTGTCTGGGACAGGTCACCGCAAATGCATGAAATTGGCGTCATACTCGAGTCCTTCTGTTTGTCTTAACTTCTGACTAAAGTGAGTAAATGGCTGCTCACGCAGGTTAGTGATTTAGGTAAACTCCAGCGCACTAGCTGAAGCCCTTCCAATCAGCCCGACAATTTTGCACAAAGTCTGAGGTCACCATTATATTTGTGTTGGCTGAATTCCAATTTCAAGAAGCTGGTGCCAAATGTTGCTTAAAACTGAGTCGTGGATTAAGGCCGCTTCAGTGTCTCTGACTATCTCCTGCTGTTCTTGCTCCAAACGTACTCACTGGCCTCATTACAGTTATTACACGTGCTGACTGTAAACTTCTCTAGTCCGCTCCCGCGTCCCTCATCCTTCCACTCTCAGGAGGATGCGGTGCCAGCCCTCATGATCCTGAAAAGCGCGTTGACGTTATTGCTTTTGATGGCGTCTCGACAGGCAGAGATCACTTGGTTCTTGGGCTTACCCACTGCAGAGAAGCATACACAGAGGCAGATACGCTTAATATATCATCTTCTCCCCTGGTTCAATTGGAGGTAGTTAACAAACAGTGCTGCTATGTTAAGAAGTAGTGCTTGTCAGACTTACCTCGAAGCCTGCCGGCTCGCTGTATGGCTTGGTTGACAGACTTGAGACAAGCCAGAAGAGCATTGTGGTTGTTTGAGCGGATCTTGTACTCATTGATTAGATCCCGGTTTAGATCATACAGCTCTCTGTAGCGCTTCTTCATAGTTGTCCTACAGTGGAAACGAACAAAGATGTGAGGAAAAGAAGGAAGTTTTTGCAGTTTCATGATAGAAGAACTGACATGAATGAAATGATACTGTAACAGGATTTATTCTTCTGCGTTAAATCTATGCTGTAGGTATGTCAAGACTGCAAACCCCTGTGCAACCCTACGCCATAACCTATGCCGTTATCTGACGTGCACGTCCCTGGAAATGTAACGCTGCCTCGGTGCAGCGCTTGACTACCGCCATCGTCTCGGTCAGTGCCGTCAGTCCTCTGATCCATTTATGGATTTCTGTTTGCCGCGCTTTTTGAACGCATCAGTGAGAGAATAATAACTATCACCTTAATAAAGGACTCGTATCATTAGTAAATTCCTGAAGCTAGATCACCAAAACTATTAGATATGTTTACCTGTAGGGGAATAAAAACACGAATAAATAAATCAAACTGCTCATAACAAAGAGAGAGAACCCAGGATTTTATTTCTACCATGGCTGCAGCGAATGAAACACACGCCTTTCAGGGCACATACATCCATTCGCTTCCGCTTATCCTTTTAAGGGTTGTTGGAGCCTATCCCAGCTGTCATCAGGCTAACATACAGAGACAGACAACAATTCACACTCACATTCAATTAAGTAAGCCGGAGTACCCGGAGAGTACCCACGCAAACACGAGGAGAACATGCGAACTCTACACAGGTGGTGGAGATGGTGGAATTGAACTCAGGACCTTCTTGCTGTGCAGCAACAGTGCTAACCACCGTGCCACCGTGCTGCACATACAAGTCCAGATAATTCAACAATAATGTAGCAATATGGCTGCAAGTATTATGAAGTAAAATACTGAGATAACTCACATGTCACCCATTAGGCGCGCGTC